CGCTGACCTCCGGACGTCGCTACAGATTAGCTTGACCAGAGGGTCCAGGGGGTGTGCGAGCGCCCTGGGGATTCACACTCGCACGTGTGAGTCGTGTGTAGGGAAGTACTACACATCCAATTTATCCGAAACTGGAGGCCACCCCTAAGATGATTAGAGATAGGTCCCTAAATCATGATTGCATGTGTTTGCATTTGCATGGCCTCCTATAGTGGGGCCACTTACTGAGTATTCTTTGAAATACTCAGGCCGTGTGCCACATCATTTTTCAGGTAAAGGCAAGGCGCACTTGTACGGAGGACGGCGGCATCGCGAGCAGAGACTGTGGCACGTGCATAGGGTAGACTCATATTTAAATTTCTAGTCTTAAGTTAGAATAGGTTGTTTTGCATTTCATTGTTTTAAATTATTTTGTATTTGTTTTTGTTTCTCTAAATTTCAGTATTTCATATTTAAACACGTAAGACCATGGCAGTGTTTTTCAGAGGAGAAGTTGTTTTAAACGTTTTTTTTTGAAAATTTTCATTATCAATTATGTTCATGTAAGAGTTATATTTCCGCATTATAGATGAGCATGAGACGTTAGTAGCGACTCTGAGTATGTGGAAATTTAGGGTCGTTACAGAAAAGGCACTCAACAAATCAGTGCTGGACTTTGTAAGACACAAACCCATATCAATAGTGTCATGTAGATAACGGAGAATTCGTTTGACTGCCGCCCAATGTATAGAAGTCGGAGAGGACATGAACTGACACACTCTGTTGACACAGAAGGATATATCAGGACGTGTCAGAGACAAATATTGGAGAGCACCAACGACACTTCGATAGCGAGTAGTATCCTCAGGTGAGAGCTTTTCACCACCATTCAATAACAACTTCTCACTGGGAAGCATAGGTGTGGGCACACCTTTGGAGGTGAGCATATTGGTTCTGGCTAATAAATCTCGAATGTATTTATGTTGTGTCAGAATAAGTCCACTAGAAGTATGGCGGACCTCAATCCCAAGAAAATAACTCAAAATACCAAGATCCTTGACGGCAAAATCATCCTGAAGCTGTGTAAAAAGTTTCTCAGTAGCCGTAGAAGATGAGCTGATGATAATAATATCATCAACGTAGATGAGGATATACATCTGAATGCCCGTTTTGTTAAAAATAAAAAGAGAGACATCAGCCTTTGAAGGTGTAAAATTCAGCTGTAATAGTTTGGAGCTAAGGCGAGAAAACCAGGCACGCGGAGCTTGTTTAAGGCCATAAAGCGACTTATCCAGCTTGCAGAGATAACCAGGGTGTTGAGAATCCACAAATCCAGGGGGCTGTTTCATATAAACATCTTCATTAAGAAGGCTATGAAGAAAAGCATTTTGAATATCAATCTGCCGAATAGCCCAACCACGAGAAATAGCAAGAGATAATAAGAGCCGAATGGTAGTGGGCTTAACAACTGGACTAAAGGTATCATCATAATCAACGCCATACTGCTGTTTAAAACCTTTAGCAACCAGGCGTGCTTTGTAGCGATCAATAGAGCCATCTGGCTTTTGTTTGAGTTTGAAAACCCATTTGCAATCAATAACGTTAAGACCAGCACGAGGAGGAACTAAGTGCCATGTTTTATTTTTTTTAAGTGCCTGAAATTCATCATTCATTGCCTGACGCCAGAGGGGATGCTCCATAGCAGTAATATGTGAAGTAGGTTCAGAGGCAGAAGACCGAGCTACAAGATATGTTACTGTTCCATCTGTATGCACCTTGGGTTTCTTGATATTGTGCTTCAATCGAGTACCATACGGATGAGTAGTAGGTGCAGGATCCACATTTGAGGGGACGGCCGTATCAGCCGTTGCGAGGGGAGCAACCGATGCTACAGCAGTTGGTTGACCAGCGGCCGAGGATTCGACCGGGCATTGTGCAATATCATCTGCTGGCGGAGGAGCCGAGGCCTCAATCATTGGCGGAACAACCAACGCGGATTCGCATGGCAGTGACGCGGAGGATTGTTGCGGCAATTCCGAAGCTGATGTAGACACCAAATTTTCTGCATCCAAAGAGTTAGTAGGCCCAGACATATGCATGTGATCATTCTCCAAATTAGTACTGCTATTATCCAAATGCAAGGTGCACAAATCAGGGGCATTATGCGTCGACTGCATGATTGGGGAAGAATTAGGTGAGGCTCTCTTGAATGGAAAAACATTTTCATCAAATATGACATCTCTAGACATATAGACACGACCAGAATCGGTGTCAAGACACTTATACCCTTTATGTGAAGAACTGTAGCCTAGAAAGACACATTCCTTTGATCGAAAAGAGAGCTTATGTTTGTTATAAGGACGAAGATGAGGCCAACAAGCACACCCAAAATTTTTTAATAAGGAGTAATTTGGTGGGGTATGAAAAAGAATCTCTAAGGGGCATTTTTTATCGATGACACGAGTAGGAAGACGATTGATGAGATATGTGGCTGTAAGAAACGCGTCGTCCCAAAATTTAATAGGTACATGAGCATGAGCTAGAAGGGCTAGGCCAGTTTCAACAATATGACGATGCTTGTGTTCAGCAGACCCATTTTGTTGATGTGTGTGAGGGCACGAAACACGATGACCAATTCCAAGGGAACGAAAAAATGTGTTATGAATTTTCTGATATTCCCCACCCCAATCAGATTGGACCCACTTGATTTTAGTATCTAGGAGGCGCTCAACATGAGCTTGGAATTGCAAAAATATACGAGGAGCTTCTGTACGATCATGCATCAAATAGATCCACGAAAATTTACTGAAATCATCAATGAAACTAATATAATATTTAAAACCCCCAACAGATGGAGGTGCAGGGCCCCAAACATCCGAAAAAATAAGTTCCAAAGGTGACGAAGACCTATGGGAAGAACTAGTATATGGTAATCGATGACTCTTTGCTAACTGACACGCATTACAAACTGACAAAGATGACTCACTAGCACACGAAATATTATTTAGACGCAAAATGGATTTTATTACTTGAGATGAAGGATGTCCAAGACGTGCATGCCATTGGGCTTGAGTAGTAGATCTGCTCACCAAGGCGTGCTTGAGATTATCGACATCGGATGGCTTAATAGGATAAAGACCAGATTCACACCTCCCATTTAGGAGACTTTTCCTCGACTGTCGATCCTTTATAGAAAAATGCCAAGGATGGAATTCAAAGAATACATCATTATCACGAGAAAATTTATGAACAGAAAGAAGATGTTTGGAAATTTCAGGCGCATGCAAAATATTACGCAACGCAAGAGGACGAGTAGCAGTATTAATTAGAGAATGACCAGTATGCAAAACACGCAAACCTGCTCCATTGCCGACTTGAACTTGTTCACCTCCATGATAACGTTCACGCACAGCGAGACGATCCAGGTCACTGGTGATATGGTCCGTAGCGCCTGTGTCGCTGTACCAATTTGGGTCAATCTTGTAAGAGGAAGTAGCCGCCAGTGCTGTAGGAGGAGCAGAAGAAGGTTCATCTTGATAGGACTCATCCATCCTATGCCAGCAGCGGATAGCAGTATGCCCCACTTTGCCGCAGATCTGGCAGGAAGGACGAGCAGAAGGGCCACGACGATCACTAGCAGGACGAGAGGGTGCATAACCTTGAGAACGACCACGACCGCGATCCCTACGCCCACGATTCTTCTGCTGACCACCACGACTAGCATAATTGGCAGAAGATCCAAGATTTAACTGAAGTTCAGCCTGGGGTTGTAGTTGGCGAGCTTCATACGTCATTAGATGTGCAAACACATCATCAAGGGTGAGGGCTTCACCCTTGGTAGTCATTGAGGTGACGAAGGGATCATAGTCAGGGCCAAGACCAGCGAGAAGATACGCAATCACATCATCATCCTGCAAGGCAGAGCCAGCGGCGGCCAGCTCGGTGGCTAGCCCTTTGATCTTGCAAAAATAATTTGCAGCAGATTGATCTCGTTTCTTGGACGTGGCGAGCTCAACACGAATCTGAGTAGTGCGAGCACGAGTTGACGATGAAAACATCCGCTGCAAGGTATCCCACGCCTCCTTGGACGTAGTAGCGGCAACCACATCATGAAGAATCTCCTCAGACATGGAGGAGAGAAGGCCGCTAAGGACTTGTTGATCCTGATCATACCACTGATTATAGGCCGGATTAGGGACCAGCTCAGCACCAGCAGCAGTTGAGGAAGGGATCAGCTTGGCAGGTGCAACATTGGTGCCATCGAGGTAGCCCATAAGCTCCGTACTCCGAAGGAAGGGGAGGAGCTGGGCACGCCATATGATGAAGTTGTTTTTTGTTAGACGAATTGTGACAACATGGTGTAGAGGGATTGGATATTGTTTAAGGCCAAAAGTCGCCATGGTAGTTGAGACGGTGTTGGAGATGGTGGATGGAGAGGAGGAAGAAGACATGGCGAGGAGTTTAAAAAATAAACTTTGGCTCTGATACCATGTTAGATTGAATGGCACAATGACCTATCTGGGTCACGACCTCATGTATTTATAGATGCGTATAATGAAGATTACATTCCAAATCTATGATTTGGTAACAAACCATAAAATCATAGATTTGGTAACAAACCCTTCAAATCATAACAACTAGTAAATCTTAGACTATTTTAGTATATACAGTTATGATCTATTTTAGGTTTAACAGCCTTTACCAAGGTGAGATTCACCGGAGATCTACTTGAAGATAGATCTAATCAATAATGTATATATTAAATCTTCATTTTCTTTTGTCCTATTTTTTAGAAATCACAACAAATTATAGTTAGATCTTGATTGAATTATTACAATGTTCTAGCTTTGAGTTAGAAACTAAATTTCAATCATTTATACGATTCTAGTAAATCACATCAGATTAGTTATATTATATTAAATTTTTATCAGTAGCCAAATGAATAGATTAAAGATAGAATGGCCAAATTTCAATCATTTATACGATACTAGTAAATCACGTCAGATTAGTTATATTAGATTAAATTTTTATCAGCCAAATGAATATATTAAAGATAGAATAGCCAAGAAAACTTCTGAATAGGAAACACTGAGATAAGGAAAGATTTGGAAACAGATGTGCATTGGAAATTTGGAATACATCAATTAAAAGGCAATACATCAATTAAAAATTAGGGAATTAAGAACCACAAACTAAATAGGGAGGGGAAGGTAAATACAGAGGGTAAATACATACAGTAGTAAAGTCGAGAATAACTTGAAATAGCTGTAAATAAAAATATAATTATAGATATATAACATTTCAAGACTTCTAACAATGGACCAATGTAAATTAGAGAAATAATCTTGTAGAGTTCAAACCCAAAACTAATGTCATGGGCTCATATAGGTTGACCCAAATTTCAAAGGACGGAATCGAACTTTCATTAAAGATATATTCGTGACAACGACTTAAGCTAGCTAGGTAAGTGACCTTACTATCGGCATGGTTATATTTGCTGTTGACACGTGCCCCGTGGTTCTGCACGTGTCATATATATTGATATGTGTGAATTGTCTGTGAATCGATATGCTTCTTATTTGTTATGTATATGTTATAATATGTGAATTGTTTGGTACGATGAGTTCAATGATATGTTTGAGATAGGATACGAGAAGGATGCACAAAACGAAATGTAACGATAGGAGTAAAATACGTTCATAAAACGTTAAGGTTAGGTTACATTCTGGAGTGATGTGGATAAGAGAGATTGATGGAAGAATACGGTTAGACTACGGGTAGAAAGGGATAGGGTGATAGATTGATAGAACGATAGCGTTAGGTTAAGTCCTTGTGATGAGATGACAAAGGTACGTTCACGTAATGATAGATATAAGAACGTTAAGGCTATGACAAGTTAGAGAATGATATGACTACGAAGTGTTTACGTTATTACTTGTTTATGATATGATATGTAACGACTCGAAATTTTCTACTTAATTTAAGGTCGCTACTGTATACGTACCATAAACATTGAATGCGAAAGACTTCATTTAAATTCCATAAAACATAACCTTTAACTTAAAACACAGCCATGGACTTACGTGTTTCGAAAACATCTTTAAAACGACACAACAAAAGGCTCGAAATAAAATAAATAAACGTTTAAGTTTAAAAGATCCTATTCTATCCTAAGTCTAAGAAAATAAATGCCACTATCCTATGCATGTGCCATGATCTCGAGTTGCGATGCTGTCGTCAGCCGTACAGGAATGCCTTGCCTTAACCTGAAAAATGTAGTAGCACATGGCTTGAGTATTTAAAGAAATACTTAGTAAGTGACCCCATTATTGGGGTTAAATGCAACAATCACATGCAATGAAATGATGGGACCTATCTTTTGTTTTGTTTCATTTCATTTCGTTTCGTTTCCCCTACAGTGTAATCCTAACAGGTAATCGTGGACGTGTACCATATACTCTACACGCAGCCCATACGTTCGAGTATGGGCTCACCAGCTAGTTCGCACACCGCTAGGCCACTGTCCCTAGCCGCTGGGCATGCTCTGGGGGCCCACCGGTTCCTGTTAAAACTAAAACCGTCATGGCAGCGCTATGCAGGGCATAACGATCGTTGTCCTGCCATTTGGATGTACGCGTCCGTACCCTCGTAATGGGATAGGGGTATCCCCCCAAATGCATGATCACACAATATGCATGAGGTCCCACTAGTCTTACAGTCATCATTTAATGAACATAACCCCGTGTCACGTTTTCATGCTTACGTGTCATTCTCATTACATATCATACATATTCCTAGCGGGGTTATGTATCATGCAATTTACCGTATTTCATGTCATACAATTCATCTAGTTACATTTCAATACTCATACAACAAGTCATAATCGTACAAGGGCCACACATCGTCATATGCATTCATATCACATCAACTAAGCAGCATAAATAACATACATTCACGTTCACATGATTTCGTACTTAAGCACCATAATCTAGCATACAATGTATCATATCATAACCAAGTCAATAACGTAAACACTTCATAGTCATATCGTTCTCTAACTTACCATAGCCTTAACGTTCTTATACCTATCATAGACATATCATTACGTTACGTACCTTAGTCATATCGTCACAAGAACGTACTCTAATGCTATCGTTCCATCAATCTATCACAAACCTATCTCTTTCTACCCATAACCTAACCGTATTCTTTCATCAATCTCTCCTATCCATAGCACTCCGTTATGTAACCTAACTCCAACGTTTCATGAACGTATCTTACTCCTATCGTTACATTTCGTTTTGTGCATCCTTCTCGTATCCTATCTCAAATATCTCCTAGAGCACATTGTACCATAATTATTATCATACAATCCACATATTATAACATAACATAACATATAGGAAGCATATCGATCCACAGACAATTCACACATATCAATATATATGACACGTGCCGAATCACAGGTAACGTGTCAACATCAAATATAATCATGCCGATAGTAAGGTCACTTACCTGGCTAGCTTAAGTCGTTGTCACGTATATATCCTTACTGAAAGTTCGATTCCATCCTTTGAAATCCAAGTCAACCGTAATAACTGACAAAAATCTCTATGTTCAAAGCCATTTTACTTCTCAAATCTGACCATGGTTGTTTTTTGTTTCTTTCTTTTTTTTTTGTGTAGGTTTTCTGTTCTTTCTTTTTTTTTGCAGCTTAGATGGGTAGAGGAGAGATAATTGTGGGAAAGGATGAGACGTTAGTAGAGAGAGGTGGGGAAAGGTTTATTTTTTAGTTTTTATTTTTTTATTTTTTTTATTTTTTGAATTAATTAATTAATTTTTTTATTATTATAATTTTAACTATTTTTATAATTATTTTTATTCGTTTATTCCTTTATTTATTTTTGGGCTATTACATTATATCCCTCTAAAAGAAACTTTCGTCCTCGAAAGTGTTTTAATCTAGGAATAACTCGGGTCCTTATTCTAAGAGTTCTTTGTTAAGTCTTCAAGTTCCATTAAGTAAAAATTCTTAACAAGTATACCTTAATTCGTATGAGTCATAACATTTATTTGCATGCATAAAACTTTCATAAGCCTATCACTTTGCATTCGTAAAATCTTTGAATCCTTATAAGGTGTCTTGTCATATAGTTAGGTATTTTAAATCTGAATTCATACTCCAAAAGGGTCTTTTGGTCATTTACCCCCAAATCTTGGTTTAATTCTTCAGCATATTCCAATAGTCTTGTAACTTTGTGTAATCCTTTTACACCATGATATAAGGCTCCTCATCAAATTTCATGTCATTTAGAGGTCACTTTGGTCATAAACTAGTGGTACATAATTATAGGGGCATTTTAGTCATTTTACACCTACACTTGGTTTAGCCTGTTATCATAACCTAATGGTCACCAAATTTCGTACATAACCTTATCATATCATATTGGGTCTTCTTCTAAAATTTCATGGACAACATAATTCATCTAAGGTTTGTGGTTCTGGCACTTCATTGAAATAAATATTCATGTGTAAATAAGGTTGGAAAACTTACATAGTTCCTCATTTTTTTTAATTAATTAATTAATTAATTTATTATTTTTACTATGATTCCATCTACTAGATCAATAGTTTTACTAGTTTCTGCTTTACATCGTTCTCCAAATCAAATTTTCTACACTTAGTTAAAGGTTCACTAATGGACCTGTTTGTCCATACATCCTCAAAATCTCATTTTAAAATACTGATCTCCGCCTACACAAGAAAATTGTTGGTAAAACTCCAAAAAGACACTTTTTTTTATCTAATTTTTTCCACTCCTTATCATTAAAGAAAGACAACGAAAAATTTCAGGGTAGAAACCTTCTCGAGAATTTCTCTTACGATTCGAACCCATAGCTGATGATAGAACTAAAATAGATATTTTTTGTTTACTACTCACACACACTCATACCTTTGTTTCTCGATCAATCTCTAATTCTAATCTTCCTCCCCAATCAAATATTATGGTGCTGGTATAGACCGAAATTTCGTTACAGTCCAATTTTGACCAGTAATAGATACCGGGTCTTATCAATATTTGACTGACCACAATTCTGTATAGTCCATTTACTATAGGAGTTCCCCGGGAATTCACTAGAGGAATATTTTCAATTAAAATTGTTCGTTCTCTATATTTTTAATAATTAAAAAGAAAGAAAAAATTGTTTTCCTTTCCTCATTATTGTTTGTGTCCACTTGATTTGGTTCATCATTAATGTCTCATCTTTGTAGATGAATTCCATATACAAATTTGCCTATTTTCCCATACAAAATTAAGAAATTTGTAATACTTCTTCTCGTTTGGCTACCTACCCCAATTCTAGTAAATTTTTGGAGTCAAAATCATGACATGAAACTGGTTAAGAACTCCACCCTATCCCAATGCAAATAGAATGCACTAGTAAATCACATAGATCTACGAACGACTTCCTGTATTTGGTTTGTGGAAAAGCTAGAGTTTGAGGATTTGGTAACTTTCATTGGAAACATTGTCAAATGGGCTTTTCTCTTGGTATACCTTATCAAGTACAGCCCAAAACTAATGCTCCTATAACCATAACGGAAAGACATCACAACCCTTTCAATGCCTTGTACTATGAAGAATGGGCTTAACAAAATTCTCTTATAAGAATTGGTATTATATTAGCATGGTGGATATTCTCAGATGCCATAAAACTTGGGATACTTGAAAATCAAACTTAAAATGACAGTTTTGAAACTTTAACTATAGTAATACCTTTTAACCAAGTTGACATTGCTAGGAAAAATTGATTGGTAATTTTCTACAACAATTTGTTTATGTTGAGCTTCCTGAGTGCATTCGTATACCTTAAGGAGGATTACCACAAAACTTCTAGTTGATTTAGAGACAATGTCCCACTCTAATCCTCGTATGTCCCCCAGCCAAGTTCATCTTAAATCATGGTTTCTTAAATTTAAGGTACCTTGACAATCTTATACCGTAGTCCCTCTCCATATACCTCTAAAATTTTGACCATGATCGTAATGCCTCATCCAAATTGTGGCTCGATACTTTTAAATCATCTCACAACTTCCATAATTGCGGTTGTATTACTTTTATTTTTTTATTTTTTTTTTATTATTATTATTATTATTTATATAGTTTTCAAGCCTTATTAAGGTAGGAAAGTTTTTTACATCTCAGTACTAATAAAGCTCATCTCCCGTTAACGCACAAACTAGCTAAATCTAATTATGCATAAAAATTTACTCCTAATGATTTAAACTATCTATGCCTAATTACGCATAAATAATTTAAATTGGATTCCAAAAATTTAACTTAAGTCTAATTATGCATAAAAACTTACTCCTGATAATTTAAACTAAGTCTAATTATGCATAAAAACCTACTCCCAATAATTTAAACTAAGCCCAATACGGCATAGAAACTAACTCCCAATAATTTAAACTAGGCCTCATCATGCATAAATAATTTAAACTCGATTAAAAAAATTTAACTAGCCAGAAGGTAGTCATACATACTAACTTTGAACGCTTTCTAAAAATTGAAACTAGGAGGAAATAGTCCGGGCAAATCAACCAAAATTTTGGCCTTGAGCCGTCAAAAAGTGTACTCTCTGACTGGCTCAAACCGTTCATTTAGGATGATAAAATGAAGTGGGGGACCTCCCTTTTTTATAGTGGAGGCCAACCCGCCACTTCTCAACTTTAGCAATGTGGCACAAAGTTTCGCTTCTTTTATTTATTTTTTATTTTTTTATTTTTTTATTTTTTGTTCATACATCATACACGTCAAGATGAAACTTTCGTCCTCGAAAGTGTCTTGATATTGAAATTACTCGAGTACTTCTCCTTGATCTCTTCCCTCTATTTCCACATAGTTTCTTTCGTTTCATAGTCTTGTAAAGATCATTTTTATTGTACATGTTTTTTTCTTTCCTTCTTTCTTTATGAGCATCACAAATAATCTCTAATGATATTTTTTCACTAAAAAATGTTGTGCCAGCTGGTTGGTTTCATATTAGAAAGTTGCAGTTGACCATCATTCTTTTTTTTTTCCTTCAGGAACATTGACATGAGTTCTTTGCATATGTCAGTTTTATGATATTAACCTTCGCATTTCCAATTATTATACATATTTTCTTTTCGTCCTAGTTTGTTACCCTTAAAATGTTAAAACCTAAAATATTACTTAATTCTGAAAGGGTTTTGAGTAGAGTGATACCCGAGTAAAAGAGAGTACATGAATGGACCAAGGTTATATCCGATAAAGTGACCCAGAGTATAGATGACTAAGAAATGCTTAAAAAGAATTGAAACTTACTACCTATATCAACGAGATGCACTTTCCTTTTTGTTGGCTTAATCATAAGAACTTCGAGATTAAATGTGCTTTTCTTGGAGCAAGTTTATGTTGGAAGACCTCTTGAGAATTTTCGTAGCAAACATGTGAGTGAGGAAAAGACATGCTGGAAGGACTCATGTTTGTCTGTGGAGATAGTTTTCACTCTTAGAAGCGAGAAGTAAATAACCTTACAATATTGTCAGGGGAATATTAGGGCCATTGACGGCCAAATCCTGAGTTTGAAAGCTTGCACATGGGTAGATACAAGCAGAAACTTCAAACCCAACCAAATTATCAACATCCAAAGAACTATAAATTCCCAAAAGATTCCTCCCCTTTTATTAGACTTAAATATGCAACATATTTAAGTCTATAAAGAAACCCCGCGACTCTCTCTAGAATTATTACATGTGAAAGCAAGCAAACATTAAAGAAAAAAAAAAGTAGGTTTTGTGGGACCAAAATGAGTGAGGGTGATTTTACTTCATTTTTCCCAAGGGTGAATCAATTCAAACTTCCCCGAATGAAGATTTTCTAAGTAAAATCCATCATCAAATGTTGCCCAAATGCAGTTTTTAACGTTGCATCGTTCCAGCTTGTAATTTTTCTCGAACTATATTATAGTCTATCCTATGTGTTTCGTACGTTCGTGAAAAACTAGATTTGCTGCTATGTGTAATGCTCCTTGATTATTACAATAGAATAATGCTTGTTCGGACAGTGGAACTTTCAAGTCTTGAAGAATGTATCTTAACCAAGTTAACTCCAAACAAGTATTTGTCATAGCTCGATACTCGGCTTATGCTGATGATTTGGACACATTGATTTATTTTTTTAGACTTCCAAGGAATAACTAAATTTCCAAGGAAAATGCAGAACCCATAAATTGATCGTCTGGAAGTTCGGCAACCACCCCAGTCTAAATTGCAATATGCTTGTAATCTTAAGTTGTTTTCAAATGGTAGTAGAAGTCCTTGACCAGGAGTACCTTTGATGTATCTAAGAACTCGAAAAGCTGCCTCCCAATGTGGTTTTCTTGGTTCATGCATAAATTGACTAAGCATACGAACTGAATACACTATGTCAGGCCTAGTAACGGATAAATATATTAATCTACCAATCAACTGTCTGTATTTACTTGGATCATTCAACTTCTCTCCTTCTGTTAGAGAAAGTTTTAGATTTTGCTCCATAAGAAATCTTTCTGGACGTGCTCTTCTAAGACATGGGTCTTGAAAAATGTCTAGAACATACTTCCTTTGAGAGATAAAAATTTCTTTTCTAGACCTAGAAAATTCAATGCCTTGAAAATATTTCAAATTCTCTAAATCTTTGATAAGGAATTTCTCGAGTAAACTAGTCTTGAGATGTTGAATTTCTTTGAGATCATTGCCTGTCAACAGAATATCATCAACATAGATAAGAGTTGCAGTGAAAGAAGTACCTTTACTCTTAATAAATAAAGAGTAATCTGCTTTGGACTAGGTGTAGCCTACATTTTGTGTATTGGTTAGAGAATATGGAGAACCAATTGCGAGAAGCCATTTTTAAACCATAAAGAGATGTATGGAGCCGACATACTGTATTCTCCCCCTGTTGGCGAATACCTGGTGGTAAAGACATATCGACTTCCTCGTCTAGATTACAATGGAGAAAGGCATTTTGAACATCCAACTGATGAGTGAACCATTTTTGAGCAGCAGCAATAGTGAGTAAGCAATGAGGTGTAGTAAGTTTCACTGTAGGAGAAAACGTCTCTTTGTAATCAACACCTTCAACCTGAGTGTATCCCTTTGCTACCAGTCGAGCTTTATAACGTTCAGTAGAACTATCAAAGTTGTGTTTAATCTTGTATACCTAATGACGGCCAATAGCTTTATGGCCAGGTGGTAGAGAAACGAGAGACCAAGTATGATTACGTTCCAAAGCTGTAATTTCATCATTCATAGCCTGCTGCCGTAATGGATCGCCAACTGCCTCATCATAGGTTTTAGGTTCTGTTTGGGCTGTAATAAGAGCTAGAAAAGTACGTTGAATAGGTGAAAAATGAGAGAATGAAAGGTAATCATGAAGGGGGTACTTGGTGCTAGTGTAGGGACTTGAGCTAGAGGTTAAATGATTGGCTCCAGAAGACATCTCATTATCATTATAACAAGCTGGAGGCTATTTGGTACGAGTAGAACGTCGGAGTGGAATTCATGTATCAGGTGGGATAAGATTAGAATTAGTGGGTGAATCTGGAGAAGGAATAGAAGGCGGAGGGTCGACGAATTAGTAGGTGAAGGAATAGAAAGTGGGGGAGGACTAGAATGGATGTTTGAGTAGGATGAATCATGAAGTGGTAAAATGGGAGTTGAAGGAGCTAATGTCAAAGTTTGTGAAGCTCGTGAAAAAGGAAAATCATCGTCACAAAATTTAACATCACGACTGATAATTTTTTTTTAGATTGCATGTCATACAACTTGTAACCTTTGTGACCACAAGGATATCCTACGAAAACACAAGGAATTGTCCGAGGTTCAAATTTTTTCTTAGGGTGTACTACAGTTGCATAACACTTACAACCAAAAACTTTAAGAGGGTGAAATGTAGGTGGTCTTTGTAGAGTGCTTCAAAGGGTGTTTTGTTAGATAACAATGGTGATGGTGTTCTATTTATAAGATAAACAGCAGTTAAAATGGTGTTCTATGTAGAGTGCTTAAAATGCACTCTACCTAACTTTAACTCGGCCTAAGATTTCTTATGCAGTTGGGGTTATGAGTCGGTACATGCAAAGTCCAAAGAAGCCTCATTTGGATGCAACTCGACGGATCTTGAGATATGTCAAAGGTATAATCGACTATGCTCTTTTGTACAAAAGAAGCAAAGACTGCAAGCTAGTTGGATACTGTGATGCTGACTATGCAGGAGACCACGATACTCGGAGGTCAACCACTAGGTATGTGTTCAAGTTTGGTTTGGGAACAATTTCTTGGTGTAGCAAGAGACAACCAACAGTATCATTATCAACTATAGAAGCAAAGTATAGAGCAGCTCAGGAAAGTACATGGTTGAAACTCTTGATGGAAGATTTGCACCAGAAAATTGAGTATCCAATATCACTTCATTGCGACAACCAATCTGCGATTCGCCTAGCAGAAAATTGCAAGAACAAAGCATGTGGAGGTGCAGTACCATTTCATTCAAGAGAAGGTCCTAAAGGAAGAAATCGAGATGTAGCAGATCAAGACAGATGACCAAGTGGCAGACTTGTTTACAAAAGAGTCGAATACGGGCAAACATGAGAGTTTTCTCTGTCAGCTTAATATGGTGCGGCGATTGAGGACTAGTGCTGAGGGGGAGTGTTAAAATATCATCACTAGCCCAATAGAGTCAAGCCCAATAATTGTACCAGCCCATTGTATATTTATTTTAGTAGAGATTTTAGGAAATATAATAGATGTGTTAGGAAAGAAATCTCGATATTTTAGGAAAAAGATTTACATTTTTTAGGTCTAGATTGCGTAGGGTATAGTATACCCCTCGACCCTACCTAGTTTTTCATCCCAAGAAATTCCAAGCATTATAAAGTAGTAGTATTCTACAAAGTGTCTTGTATTCTCTTCTCGATTGGTCTTAATAAAGAGTGCAAGTGTTTCCCACAGAGAGTTGTGTTCAACATGCAGTATGCTTCCAATTCATCCCAGAGTGCTTTGAGCTTGGTGAAATATGCTGAAAGTGCCATGGTTCCCTATGACATCATTGTTATCGACATTTGTATCTGAAAAATTGCTGGAGCATTCTTTTGTGAGAATTGATTGTGAAGATCAACCCACACTTGATGAGCTGTCTTGGCGTGAATAATTCCATCAGCGATATCTGCTTCAACTGAATGAGTTAACCAAGATATTATCATACTGTTAAACTGATTCCAGAGTTCAAATTCGATTAAATTTGCATCTTGAGACGGTTCTTCAATAGTGCTATCAATGAAGCCAATTTTCTTTTTGGCAATAAGAGCATGCATAACTAATTGACGCCAGGATTGATAATTTGTTCCATTTAATTTTATTGGAACAAGTGAATATAATGGCAGAGTGATGATTATAATAATGATGTATTAAGTCAACATCCGAAATTTTGAAGTTCGATTTGGCTGATTCCGCCATAAAGAAAATTATGATATTTAATAACACCAAGATCGATTCTTTGATACAATATTAAGAATGAGAAATAGAATTGGGATCGAAAGAGCAATCTTCATTAATATTCACAACGTTTAAATCGGATACAAGCTACCAACTAATACCTAAAAATAAGGAAAAATATAAACTAACTAAATTTTGAAAATAAAATAAAATAAAATATACTATTAAGCAAATCATAAAGGAAAAAATATTAACGAATTACGAATATCTAAAATATATTCCATAACTAATTATTATAATATATTCTCCAAATATTATATCTTAATAAGTTCTTATCATGTTAATTCCTAACGATCTTGGTCCTTGGATTCTAAAACCTTGGTTATCTTTTAAGGGCTTTAGTACTATGGTTCATGGTTCTTGGTTCTTGATCCATGTTCTAGTCCATGATCTTTCTCTAGTCCTTGGTACTTTCTAAGTTCCTTTTCGGTTCTTGGTTCTTTCTCCAACACTCTGTCCTGAAGATTTACGGTATTAGACATGAACCTGATATCTTGTGTCCAAGGGTTCATGCGTTCCAAGCGACATAGTCTTAACCCACACCTCAAGGCTTGCCCTTCGATGAGCTCTGAAAACCTACATCCAAGGAAGGCTTCTTACGTAACAAACGATGTATTCTAATTCTGCATCAAGGGCTTGCCCTAGGATACAGTTTGAATACCTATGCCCAAGGCTTCATGCGTTCCAAGCAGCATAGTCTGAATACCTACGCTCAAGGCTACATGCGTTCCAAGAAGCGTAGTCTGAAATCCTGCACCCAGGTATTCTAAGCGGCTTCATGCGTTCCAAGAAGCATAGTCTGAATACCTACGCTCAAGGCTTTATGCGTTCCAAGAAGCGTAGTCTGAAATCCTGCACCTAGTGCTTGCCCTATGTTACAATATCAATACCTATGCCCAAGACTTCATGCATTCCATGCGGCATAATCTGAATACTTACAGCGTATTTTGAGTCAAATGTTGGCTGGAAATGCTCGAGAGGACTACTTTGATGAAATAGAGGAAAACGGAGACAGGGCTGAGGCTCTTAAGAACAACGCATGAATTTCTTTCTTCGAGGAGAATAATAATGATTGACTATTAAGTAAGGACTTAATTGTGAATATGATATTCCAAGGAATGTTCATAAGTAAAATTATAGCATAATTGTATGAGTTTTTATTTCACTTTTGATTAACAAATGACAACATTTTTCATTTTCAACCTCGACATAACTCAAACTCCACTCTTTTAGAGTAGTAGTAACCTATAATAATTATAAAAAAAGAGATTATTTTGTAGTTTTGAACCGAGTAATATGGCATAAATTAATATGTAGCACTTGCCTTAAGGTCGGGATCTAAAATTCACATAGTCAATTGTACTCGATTGTAAGGAGAACACCTGCTAATGCAAACCAAGTAAGTGACCTTAGTAACGGTTAGGTTAAAAGTTGATGTTCGTATCATGACACGTGCCTCGTGGTTCTATACGTGATATATGCTTGATATGTGTGAAATGTTTACGGAACAATGCGACAATGGTGTCTGTATGAAACGATATGACTAAGATATCTTTATGAAATGATATGACTGGGATATGTTTATGAAACGATATGACTAGGATACATTTAGGAAACCTAGACTAGGATATGTTTATGAAACAATTTGGCTAGAATATGTTTATGAAACAATAAGACTAGGATACATTTAGAAAATGACATGACTATGATATGTTTATGAAACGAGATGACTAGGATATGTGTATGAAATGGTATGACTAAGATTTGTTTATGAAATGAGATGACGATGATATATTTATGAAACGATATGATAAGACTACGTCTATGAAATGACATGACTATGATACGTTTATGAAATGATATGACCATGATATGTTTATGAAAGAATATGACTAGGTTATGTTTATGTAACGATATGATTGTGATGTGTTTACAAAACAATATGACTATGATATTCTTACGAGATGATAAGTCCATGATATGTTCGTGATACAACGTGACTATGAGATGATACGTGAATGTTATGACACGTGATATGATGATGTACTGATGATATGATAAATGTTATTGTATAACACGTTTGGCGATATAGTACATGATATGATGTATGTATGATATGACATGATATGACACGATGCCTGATATGAATGATATACGACAAAAATGTGTGGACATAATGCACAACCGCAATTTATGTAAGGAAACTATGATAAAGATTATGATATGAACGAAAAATGGAAGGGGTTGTCTTACATGATAATGAATAAAAATGTTGGGATCTCATGCATCATTGTGCATTCATGCATCCAGGAATACCCCTATTTTACGATGATACAGACACGTACACTACGAGGCTGAAAAATGATCATCATGTTTATCATAATGCTACGACGATCGCTATGCCTAGCTGGTGTTTGACATCAACAGCTCTAGAGAATGCTCGCCTGACCATGAAAGGGGCCCGGAGGTGTGCGAACCGACTGGTGGGTTCATACTCGCACGTGTGGACCGTTTGGAATGAACACCTAAGGAATATAGAATTATACGATAGGTCCTACACATGATTGTATGTGTTTGCATCTAACCGCAATAGTGGGGTCACATACCAAGTATTTCTTTTAATACTCAAGTCATGTGCTACTGCTATTTCAGGTAAAGGCAAGGCACCTCTGTACCACTAACGACTACATAGCCATTCGAGACCATGAAACATGCAAAGGGTAGTTGTGTTTAGTTTCTTAGAGTTAGATTAGGATAGAGTGTTTTTAATTATAATGTTAATATATTTCATTTAATATTTTGTTACGTCGTTTTAAAGATATTTTCAAACACGTAGCTCTATTGTAGTGTTTTAAGATGAAATCTATATTTTATGATGAAGTTAAGTTATGATTATGATAGTGACTTTAGGTAAGCAGAAATCTAGGGTTGTGTATTCTTATTTGAACGGAAGGATATGCTCCTTGTATTAGAAATTTATTTCAAATGAGTACAAATTAAGTTACAAATTCATGGAATAAGAGGTAAAAAAATTTAAACTTTCCACTCATTTTTTTAACTAAAAAAAATTAAAAATTAATAACCTAGACTATATTATGAGGTTGTATAAACCATTAAGCATAAAATAATTTTGGGCTTTTGAACTTAAAGTATTAAACTTCTAATTTAACATTCAAACTATAATTATATTTTTAGAAATCGCCATAGAAGTTGAATATGGATAATGACTTTTTTCTGTTGTATATTATACTTTAAAAGCTATCAATTATATATATATATATATATAAAGGTGGTGCCGTTGAAAATTTTGCATCATGCAACAACCTTATTACCTAAATCATTGGCCTTCGACTTGCAATAGATTGTTAGAAGTTCTCCTTCCCTTTAATTAAGAATAGTCACTTTCTAAGGTGACTCTGGAAATTCGAAAGATAAACAAATGATGACATTAAAAGTTGATGCAAAAGTAAACAACAAATCAAATAAAGACAATTCATAGCATTCATTTTTCAATGGATTCTGATTTTAGAATCTAAAATCTGAATAATTGCCAAAGATAAAAGAAAAAGAGATATAACTTAGAGATAACTTGTTCTATTTCCTGTTAAATCTAGTAACATTTCCTATTTTTGTCTTCCCAATATCTGCCATCTTTTCTTGTTGTTTTGTTTCTTCTTCCCAAANTCTGCTATTTTTCTGTTTTTTTTTTTTTTTTTTTTTTTTTTTTTTTCATTCTATTTCACAACCGGTGTTGGGTTGAGAGACAATGAGGAAGGTGGAGACCATTTACTTTTTTTTAATTTTTTTCTTTACTCATTATTATTATTATTATCATTTTTATTTATTTTATTATTATTTTTACTCTGGTTACATGAGGTCCCAACATTTATCTTTTCATTATGTTGTATAACAACGGTCTAGAATTTTTCTTTATATCATATCATTTTATCATAACTTTCTAGGTGTATATTGGGGTTGTGCATTATGTCAATTCATCACATTGCTTGTCAATCATATCATATCATATATCTCATCATGTCAAACATATGTCATATCATAAACTTATCATGTCTTGTAACGTATCATATAACATTGCATAGCATCATCGCATCAAAGAATAACATCATCACACATCGTACATCATCATCATAAAATATAGTCACAACATCATAAATATAAAGAATAAATGACACGTGTAAGGGCCACTAGGTACATGTCGTCATACATTAAACAAGTCGTTCAACCTACCCAATAGTAAGACTACTTACTTGGTTGCCCTTAGCCGGCGTTCTCCCTAAATTCGAGTATGTTTGCTTTTCGCCCCTCGAAATTTCTCCTAGTATTATTAGTCGTCGTTTTCTATTAGAACGTCCATCTTGCTTCGTTAGTAACTATAATTTCTTAACTCAGTTTAACATAAACCGAGAAATTTAACTATATCCTGACTTTAATTTCTTTAAAGAATGTCAATTTAAGATTTAGGATAGTCAAAACCGCAAAAATTAGGCAAAATACCCTTTTCGGAATGGTGTATAAATTTCAAATTTACTTCATTTTTGTGCTTGAAATTTTTCTATAATATCTAGACTTTGATTTTAAGGTTGACGTCAATATTTTATTCTTCAATAACAACTTTAATATTTTATTGAGATGTAAACATTTTTATATTAAATGTTTCCATATATTTAAGAACTTAAACAATTAATAGACACTTTGTTAGAGTAGTGTTACGTCAAGTACACTAGTTGTGTAGTAACCAAAATATTTTATGTGATGTAAGGTGAAGGTGATGAATTTGTCTAAGGATTTCATGGATGAATGAGCTCGAATACCTTTGTTCGACTATTATATAAAGAAAAACCCTTCTCATCTGCACCCAATGCAGTGCGAATAGTTGCATCGGTCTTGAAGCCAAATTTTATGCTCTGGCCAAAAAACCTCGAATGAAAGCTTCCCATAGTTGCTGCTAAAAGTTGCACCAAAACAATGTTGTCGGCAACAAATTCTCTTTGAATTCCCAGCTGTATTCCTGTTTGAATGGAAGAATATGCTCCCCTAATTAGAAAGGTATGTCACATGTTTTATTGTCAACATTGGTTATTTACTTAAAAACTAAAATCGGACCCGAAAGTAAAGGAATTTGAACCTCTAATGTTTTAACTAAGGACCTCTAAATTATTCAGTTAAGTTATGCAATGAATTACATTTAAAAAATAAAATAAAATTTTTATTCATATTTGAAGGATGACTAAATGTAACGACCCTAAATTTCCACACACTCAAAGTCGCTACTAACGTCTCATGCTCATCTATAATGCGGAAATATAACTCTTACATGAACATAATTGATAACAAAAATTTCAAAAAAACGTTTAAAACAACTTCTTCTCTGAAAAACACAGCCATGGTCTTACGTGTTTAAATATGAAATACTGAAATTTAGAGAAAACAAAAACAAATACAAAATAATTTAAAACAATTAAATGCAAAACAACCTATTCTAACTTAAGACTAGAAATTTGAATATGAGTCTACCCTATGCACGTGCCACAGTCTCTGCTCGCGATGCCGCCGTCCTCCGTACAAGTGCACCTTGCCTTTACCTGAAAAAAAAAGAAGTGGCACACGGCCTGAGTATTTCAAAGAATACTCAGTAAGTGGCCCCACTATAGGGGGCCATGTAAATGCAAACACATACAATCATGATTTAGGGACCTATCTCTAATCATCTTAGGGGTGGCCTCCAGTCTCGGATAAATTGGATGTGTAGTACTTCCCTACACACGACTCACACGTGCGAGTGTGAATCCCCAAGGCGCTCACACACCCCCTGGACCCTCTGGTCAAGCTAATCTGTAGCGACGTCCGGAGGTCAGCGGAACCCCATAGTGTCATGGGCCTCATGAACACCCTCATCTGTGTGCATTCGCACCTGTGCGTATTCACGCTCATCATATGGTGCGCGTCCGCACTCATCATCTCTAGGGGAAGTAGCCCTATGCTTATGAACATACAATATGCATGAGGTCCCTCTAAATCCATCATAATGTCTCTTCTGACACAACCCTCTTATCTCATCTCTTTGTTACTCTAGGTAACACATACTCGTGGATATTTATATTAATATCGTTTTCACGCTCTTAGGGTTGTGTCCTATGTCGATCTAACGACATGATGCAATATGGCACTCATCATCATATAGCATGCTCAATATGGAAAACATCATCATATTAAGATAAACGTCACGCAATCATCATACTCATCATATTGCCACAAAGTGCATCAAACATATCAAGTACGACATTCATCAATATATATATATATACTGAGCACATCATCAGGTATCATAACCCACACGTCATCATAACTCATACATCATACATCATCATAACTCATACAATTTTTAGCCTATCCTATAGTAAGGCCACTTACCTGGTTGGCCTTAGCCGAAGAATTCCCTAATTTATTTACGTAAGCTCCCGTTTCTCGAGAACTACACCAAACGTTGCCAAGGTTTGCTTCCTATCGCATCGTTCGTCACATTTTGTTAGTATTTCACATTTTAATTAATAATCCAACTAACCGTGTGAAAAACTGCTCTAAACTGTCTCAATAAAAATCGAATTCCATGTTTTCATTGTTTCTAAATTATATAGGATAATGAAACTTAAAACTTAAATTAATAATATGCCAATATTATTAATATTTCAAGTGGCTTGGATAATTCAACATTTAATGTTATATCCTATAAATACAAATATAACAATTTCTCATATCTTTTCCTATCATTTATTTCTCTTCTATGTCATATTTTAATTTTATTTACTGTACTTGCCATTTTCAAACCGTTCTAACTTTCTTTTCTTTCCTAAAATCCTCTCTCTTTTGTTTTTTTTTTTCCTTCTTTCTTTTAACTCTAATCCTGTTTAGTCTTTCAATTTTGGCATTACCATATGAATCGTACTTGCCATCTTCAAACTGTCCTAACTTTCTTTTCTTTTCTAAAATCCTCTTTCTTTTGTTTTTTTTTTCCTTCTTTCTTTCCACTCTAATTCTGTTTAGCATTTCAATTCTACTCCCATATCTAATTATTTTAAGCAATTTAAATTTAATTCTTTTAATTAGTTTCATTTTTTTTAGGCAGTTTAATTTACTCACCAGATTTTCTTTAGTTTTACTATTTCCAAATCTAATCTTCCTCTCTTTCTTGTGAAAATCTCTTTTGATTATGTTTTCCAAATTTGGTATTTTTTATTTTTATTTGATCTGTCTTCCAATCTTTCTCTCTTTTGATTATGTTTTCCAAATTTGGTATATTTTATTTTTATTTGATCTGTCTTCCAATCTTTCTCTCTTCTCTTCTGTCTCATATTTTAATTCTATTGCCAGATTTTATTTTTATTTGAATATGTTTTCCAGATCTTTCTTTTCCCTATCTTTCTCTCCTCCTTATCTATCTATTCCTTTTTTTCTCTAATCAATTTTCATGGACCCTAATAATTTCTAATTCAGATCATAGCAACAGATAACGGATAGATAATTTCTAATTCAGATCATTGCAACAGATAATTTCTAAATTTCTACCTCAGATCTAAATAATTGCTAATATCCTTTGTAGAAAGAAAGAGAAAAATAAAAAAAAGGTAAATCTGACTACTAACCTTTTGAAATGACATCTCTCTTCTACCATCTCCCCATTATCTGCCTTCCTTCTGTTTTTGTTTTTGTTTTTGTTTTTTGTTTTTTGTTTTTTTTTGGCTGAGTTATTGATATGAGGGAGATTTTAGGGGATGGATGGAGAGATTAAAGGAGGTGGTTTTTTTTTTTTTCTTTATTTTGTTATTCTTATTTTAACACACACAGATATATATATATATATAATTAAACCCTGGGGGCGTTACACTAAAATAGATTTGGTAAATTTTAGAAATCAAATTAGAAATGAAGTAAATGGTTAGGGACTAAAGCTATACATATTTTAACTTTAATAATTCTATAAAATATTGAATAAAAATGAAAATTAGATATTAGAGGTATAAACAAAACATTTTAAACCCACCCAAAATTTCAAGTTGGTTGGATTGATAACCCAAATCACCACAAATATTTTCGCAGCCGACTTAACCTAACACTCTATTTTTTAATTAGGTCGTGTGACTAGTTACTATGATTGATTGGTTGGTTGGTTGTGTGATTGAGAGTGAGAGCGGGAGTAGCATGCAACTATAAGCGACGAGCGGCTGCAGAAGGTAGCTTGTGGATGAGATAGATCGAGAGTAGCAACATTATTGAAAAAATAAAAAAAAAACCCAAAAGTGGAAGACTAAAGCTCAAAGTATTGGACCCGGCTCGGTTCGGGTTGGCTCGAATTTTTTCTTCTTTGAGCCCAAAAAGCAAACCAAACCAATTTGTTTCCATAAAAAACAACCACCCAACTCAATATTCTATGTAACCCAACTTTGAGTTAGGTTGGTTGGATTTTTCAAGTTTTTTTCGAGTTTTTAGGTTTTCTATACAACCTTAATCAATATGTTTAAGTCAATCTAGATGTACTAATAAGATGATAATTGATATCTTATCTAGTTCGTTTTTTTTTATTCAATCTTAGGAATTTATTTTTTATTCCAGGTAACACAAATGAAAGCAAAGGACACCGTATTAGGAGCATGGTGAACTGCAAAGAATACAACTGAAATCATCAAGGATTTCATCGATAATAGAAAAGAACAACATTCAATAGCAAAAGAGAAAAGTATGTCTTGGGTTTGCATATTTTGGCCATGGAGCACTTGTTTTTGAAGTGAAATACAAGAACAATTTGTAGTACAAATAAGAGTGTTTCTCCAAAAATGAAAGATGGTAATTTGTAGTATGATTTGTTGATGTTTTGTCATTATTAAACTTGACATAGCAAAAAAAAAAAAAAAAAAGAAAAAAAAAAAAAAAAAAGAAAAAAAAAAAAAAAAAAGAAAAAAAAAAAAAAAAAAGAAAAAAAAAAAAAAAAAAGAAAAAAAAAAAAAAAAAAGAAAAAAAAAAAAAAAAAAGAAAAAAAAAAAAAAAAAAGAAAAAAAAAAAAAAAAAAGAAAAAAAAAAAAAAAAAAGAAAAAAAAAAAAAAAAAAGAAAAAAAAAAAAAAAAAAGAAAAAAAAAAAAAAAAAAGAAAAAAAAAAAAAAAAAAGAAAAAAAAAAAAAAAAAAGAAAAAAAAAAAAAAAAAAGAAAAAAAAAAAAAAAAAAGAAAAAAAAAAAAAAAAAAGAAAAAAAAAAAAAAAAAAGAAAAAAAAAAAAAAAAAAGAAAAAAAAAAAAAAAAAAGAAAAAAAAAAAAAAAAAAGAAAAAAAAAAAAAAAAAAGAAAAAAAAAAAAAAAAAAGAAAAAAAAAAAAAAAAAAGAAAAAAAAAAAAAAAAAAAAAAAAAAAAAAAAAAAAAAAAGAAAAAAAAAGTTATTAACTGAGAGTAATGTTAGAATTTGTTTAGAAGTTATTGGCTTGAATTGATTTAGGAAAATGGTTAGTCTTAGTAAGAATTATTAGTAGTTGTGTTTTCTCCCCTTATAAATACTCATGACATGCATGCTATTTTAAAAAGAACAAAGAGAACTGAAAAACTAAGTGCTTAAGGTTGTTCCTCTATTCAAAAGCTCTCTCAACCCTCTCAAGTTGATTGTTTTGCTTCTTTTATTTGTTTCGACATATTTTGATCGTGGGCCATTTCCAATATTTGGTATCAGAGCTAGGATTCTCACAAATGCTGTCATCATACAAAGTTGCTGGAAGGGAGGGGAGTGTAACGCTCTAGTACTTGTTACTCACAAAGAGTAACTATGCAGCATGGTCGATAAAGATGCGTGTTAACTTACAGGCCCAGGGCATTTGAGACGCCATCAAGCAAGGTGAGGACGTTGAGAAGTGTTAAGATAGGATGACTCTTGCTGTCATCTACCAAGCAGTCCTAGAGGACGTCCTTCTCATGTTGGCAAAGAAGGACTCAGCAAATGCAGCGTGGGAGATGCTACAAATAATGCATGTGGGCATGGAACGTGTCAAGGAAGCAAAGGTGTAGACCTTGAAGAGTGAGTTCGAGGCTATCCGCATGAAGCACGATGAGTCAATAGACTGTTAGGTTTTAAACAAAAATATATTCTATTTTCAATAAAGTTATTATTGATGTTTATTCAGTAAAGATTGTTATTGAATAAAGGGAATTTTACGATTATTAATAGAACACTCTGACTATAATATGATTATTTGAACTATATGTACAGCATAAGAGTGGATCCAGTCAAGTATATAATCAAAATGACCTAACTACAGGGAAATCAAAATGATCTTATAGTATAGGGATAAGGTTGAGTATCTTATCCTCAGGAAACTGTAATAGCCCAAAAATAAATAAAAAAATAAACAAAGGGGAAGGCTGAGTACCTTATCATGGGCAAACTGTTTATCCTCAGGAAACTGTAATAGCCCAAAAATAAATAAAAAAATAAACAAAGGGGAAGGCTGAGTACCTTATCATGGGCAAACTGTAATAGCCCAAAAATAAATAAATAAATAAATAAATAAAAATAATTATAAGAAAGTAGTTAAAATAATAATAATAAATAAGTAAACAAAAAAAAGCAACGTTTCCCCACTTCTACCCACTAACCTCTAGTCTCTTCCCACAATTATCTCTCCTCAACCCATCCTTACGCCCCAAGTAACAGCAAAAATAAACAGAAAAACAATAATTGTCAAATTGACTTGAGAAGAAAAAAAAAATGAGAATGGCCTTTACCCAGGTGAGATTCACCAGATATTTACGTGAACATAGATCTGATCAATCTTCATTCTCTTTTATCCTATTTTTTTAGAAATCACAACAAATTAGAGTTAGATCTTCATTGAATTATTACAATGGTAGTTAGAAACTAAATTTCAATCATTTATACTATTCTAGTAAATCACGTCATATTAGTTATATTAGATTAAATTTTTATCAGTAGCCAAATTAATAGATTAAAGATAAAATGGCCAAGAAAACTTCTGAAGTGGAAACACTAAGCTAATGAAATAGGAAACAGTGAGATAAGGAAATAT